GCTGTTTAGTCCCCAAACATAGTTAGAAATTCAAACTGATCCCTGGCTCTTCTACTTCCTAGTTATTATTACAGGATTGCTTTAGAGTTTTCTGCCCTGCAGGTTTCTGCACACTTGACCTTTGTGAATCCTGGCCTGCACCTAGAATTGGTAGCCGGTAGCACCTAGCTTTAGGTTCTGCCTTTCAACTCCTGCTTCTTCCACTGTATGTGGGGACACCAGATGCCAGCAACATAGTGATGGAAGCAGTATCCAATGCTGAGTCTCTAACAATTAATGAATTATGTGAAAATTTTCGATGAGAAGAGCATTAGAGGTCATTAACAAATTCCCAAATGAATAACTATAGAGTCAGAAATTGGAAGCTCTTAAACATGACTTCCCTCAGCCAGATATGGTGCTGAATGTCTTTAATCCCAGTACTGGGAAGCTGAGACAGGCAGATCACTGTGAGTTTGAATCCAGGCTGGTCCATATGGTCAGTTCTATCCCAGCCATGGTGACGTAGTGAGACCACGTCAAAATAAAAAAAATAAAAAATAAAAACCTCAACCGAAGGAAAAAAATAAACAAAAAATAAAGTGAGTGCAAACTTGTATTACCAGCACCAGGGAGACTGCAGCAGGATGACTGTGACTTAGAAGCTACCTAGAGATAAACAGTAAGAAATTGTCACAAACCACCCTAGCACTACACTCAAGTCAACTAAAGGGTTTCAAGGTCTCCTTGCTGTGTGAGCCCAAAGGTGAGTGCTGGCCCAAGTCTGCAGTGTAAGCAATTCCAGGTCCTATCTGAAACTGAGAAGCTTCTGTAAAGCAAAAGACACAGTCAACAAGACAAAAAGGCAACCTACTGGATGGGTAAGAATCTTCACCAATACACTATCAGACAAAGGACTGATCTCTAAAATCTATTAAAAAAAACTCAAGAAATTAGACATCAAAATGCCAAATAACCCAATTTTAAAAATGGGGTGCAGATCTAAACAGAGAATTCTCATCAGAAGAATTTCAAACGGTTGAAAGATACTTAAGGAAATGTTCAACATTCTTAGCCATCAGGGAAATGCAAATCAACATGACTTACACCTGTCAGAATGGCTAAGATCAAAAACACCAATGATAGCTTATGCTGGAGAGGATGTGGAATAAGGGAAACACTCCTTCATTCCTGGAGGGAATGCAAACTTGTACAACCACTCTGGAAATCAGTATGGCGCTTTCTCAGAAAATTGGGAATCACCCTACCACAAGATCCAGCAATACCACTCTTGGGCATATACCCAAAAGATGCTCAATCATACCCCAAGGGCATTTATTCAACTATGTTCATAGCAGCATTATTTGTAATAGACAGAACATGGAAACAACCGAGATGCCCCTCAACCAAAGAATGGATAAAGAAAATGTGGCACATTTCCACAATGGAGTACTACTCAGCAGTAAAATAAAATGACATCTTGAAATTTGCATGCAAATGAGTAGATCTAGAAAAAAAATATCCTGAGTGAGGTAACCCAGACCCAGAAAGATGAACATGGTATGTGTTCACTTATAAATGGATACTAGCTATAAAGCAAAGGATAAGGAGCCTATAGTTCATGATCTTAGAGAAACTAAGTAACAAAGTGAATCCTAATAAAAACATACATAGATTCACCTGGAAAGGGGAAATAGACAAGATTACCTGACAAAAAGTGGACACATGGAAGTTGGAGGAGATGGGAGCGTGTAAGGGGAAGAGGAGAGGAGAAGAGCAGGGGCGAGGAGAACTTAAGGGAACAGGATAGCCCAGATGAAGGTAGGACAAAAATGAGAGCAAAGAAGGAGATATTTTAATTGATGACACCATTATGGGGCTATCAAGAAACCTGATACTAGAAAAAAATCTCAGGAATCCACATGGATGACTCCAGCTAAGGCCCTAAGCAATAGAGGAGAAGGTTCCCAAATTGGCCTTGCCGTATATAGTCAGACTGATATCTTAAATGTCACCATAAAACCTTCATCCAGCAACTGATGGAAACAGAGGCAGAGACCTTCAGTGGAGCACTGGGTTGAGCTAACAAAGTCCAGTTGAAGAGTGGGAGGAGTGAGAATATGAACAAAGAGGTCAAGAATGTGATGGGGACACCCACTGAAACAGTTTACCTGAGCTATGGAAGCTCACCAACTCCAGTAGGACAGGGAAGGAACCAGCATATATCCAATCTAGACCCCTTGAATATGGGTGGCAATTGTATGGCTGGGGCAGACTGTGGGGCCACTGGGCAATGGCACCAGGATTTATCCATAGTGCCTAGATTGGCTTTTGGGGAAGCTATTCTCTTTGGATGGATACCTTGCTCAGCCTAGATATAGTAGGGAGGGCCTTGGATCTTCTCCAAAGCAATGTGCCTTACCCTCTCTGAGGAGGGAATGGGTGAGGTGGAGTGTGGGGTTTGTGGAGGGACTGGCAGGAGGGGAGGGAGTGGGAATTGGGATTGATATGTAAAATAAAAAAGACAGTTTTATTTTAAGAAAAATAAAATAAATTAAAAAAGAAATACCACCAAGCAAAACATTTTTAATTATTTTACGGTTAATTTTTTGTGTTTATGCATGTGTCACAGCATGCATGTGGAGGTCAGAGGACAACATGTGGGAGTCAGTCTTCTTCATGAGAGAAAGATCAGGTTGTCTAGTTTGTTGGCAGATGCTTTTACCATGGGGCATCTCTCATGAACCCTCTCTATTCGTAATGTTGAACAATCTTTTCATCATTCAGATGTAACACATCTTTCTTCACTCCTCCTCCATGTTCATACATAGCTTCCCTTTGAGTCAAATAACACAGACTGACTGAGAAAGTGTTCTTTAGTCTGGTCCTCTATGTAACAGAAGAGGGTGAGACTCAGAGAAGTAGTGGTGTTCCCTACAAACAAGTCACATTATATGAGAAATGTGAGAAGGAGCTGCAGGGATGGTTAGGAGACCTGCTACTCTTGCAGAGGACCCTGGTTCCTTACCCAGCACTCACATCTAGGACTCATGACGGCCTGTAGCTCTTGCTCCTAAGGACCCAGTGTCCTTTTCTGGGTACCTGTTAAAATGTGGCACACACACTCACACAGACAACAAAACATACAGATAAATAAAAACAAATCTTTATGTTAGAAAACCAAGTTAATTAATAAACTATAGTACAATATGATACAAATCACTCACTTTTGTATATAGAGTGTAATACATAGAGTTTTGTATATAGAGTGTAATCAAGAAAAAAATGTACTCATCATGGTAGAGTAGAACTACAGTGTACCCCAAACCCAGACTGTTATAGCTGTTTTAATTGGATGTGACACATCTGAAAATTAGTTGTGGATATGATAACTGAAAATAAAACTGTACAATTGTTAGCTGTAGGCAGAGTTGTCTGTCTAGACAGCCAATCAGCTCTATCTTGTCAGCTGCTCCCCAAATAACCACACAGAGACTTATTATTAATTATAAATGCTTCACCAATATCTCAGGGTTCTTACTAGCTAACTCTCATATTTTTGAATTAACTCATATTTCTTGTCTACATGCTACCACCTGGCTCAGTACCTATACTCAGTAGGCAAGTTCATCTTCTGCTTCCTCTGAATCTCCTTGAGACTCCCGAGAATCTTTCCCTTCTTCTTTGAACTCTCTTTTGATTTGCCAGTTCCTCCTAACCTCTACCTGTTTAGCTACTGGCCAGTCAGCTTCTTTATTAAACTAATCACAGTGACATAAATACACAGTGTAAAGGAATATTGCACATTAGAGGTAGGTTTATGCCTTAATTTTTAAGCGTCACATCTGACATCCTTCATTTAAATTAGTGTAGAATCAGACCCTCTGCAGCTCTGGTGACAAACAGTTGGATAGTGTTGTGCAGAGAACCTGGCATTAACTAAGGGCAGCTGCAAACAAGCCTCCGTCTCTTTTCTTTTCTTTTTTCTTTCTTTCTTTTTTAAAGGTGAACCCTTAATTGAAAACTTGAAACACTCTTCAGCATCACATCTTCATCAAAGCTCTTACAAAGCCTGCACAGAAAACTGAGCTTTTCAACATGGAGGGTCAGTCACCTTCCATGTACATTTCTTTACGTATTTTGAAAAAGGCAAATTCACATTTTATTACTCAGCATAGAAGCTATAGACAGATAAAGAATGAAACTTAACTGGGTATTCATTAATCAGTTTATCCTTTATGTACAGTGTTTATTCCTGCAGAGAATGTTCACGAATATAAGACCAGTGAGAAGTTTCAGGGCATTTAAGTGCAGTGACTGAGCATTGGTCGTCTAGTGACTGACTGCACAGTACATGTCAGCCTCTCACAATTCTGTAAAGTCTTTTATGTGGGTGGAATCTTATAGACAGACATTTTGAACATTCCCAAAATAGCCTTGTGGTACTAAAATTTAGAAAAAAAAAAAGAGTGTCAGGTACCAGATATTGAATTTCTTGGACTAACAGAATTAAATCACTTGAATTTTGATAAATTTTACAAAATGCATCTTTATGCTTCCAGTCATGGTAGTAATAAATCAATTTTACAAATCCCAATTAAAACCATTTTCTCAGTGCTTGAGAGATGGTTCACTTAAGAGTACTACCTGGTTTTGCTGACGATCCAGGTTCAATTCCTAGCAAACATACTTTGGTTCAGAACCATAAGTCTTATTCCAGTCAGTAACAGGGCATTTTATGGACTCTTCCAGCATCTAGAGGCACACACAAGATATACAAACATAATACAGGACTATTCATACATAAGGAATGAATACAAATATGAGAAAGTTTAAAGAATAAAGTCCCTTCAAAGTGTGGCAATAAAGAGAATGAAGTTTCTATTTTGCTAGGGTCACCCCTTCTCTCTGCTTAAGACTTGAGGCTCTAGGAAGATAGTCTGAAAATAAAGACAAGCCTATGCTAATTTGAGATATTTTGACTTATGCACAATATTGTAGAATTGAAAGTTGATCCACATTCATTGCACAGAAAAATGGGAGAAATAGTTTCTTGAATGCTCCCAATGAGCATGCCAGCACTCAGCCAGAAGTCTGTCCCTGTGAATCAACACAATGGGGCTAACAGTTGCATAACCAAGGGTTATAAGTTTGTGAATATTTACCGTCAAGGAATTGTTCACTAAAGAGAGACTTAAAAATAGAGAAAAAGCACAGTCAGCCCAATAGAAGAAAACAAAACAGAGCATCAGAAGGAGGACACTCTGAGCAGCTCTCAGCTCAGGGGGAGTTCTGTAGAGAAGCTTGGAGTTCTGGAGGTGGAGGACATGCTGGTGGTGCTTGTGGAGAAGAAGTACCATGTAGCCACTGGCGCCTCCCATGGCTCCCTGAAACACAGCATCTCTCAGGACCATGAGAGGGAGAACAATCCACTTTATTTTCTGACTTTCTAGCATTAAGTAACAATAGCTGTCACCATTCTTAAACTGTGATATATTCAGGCTTGTACTTGTGATGGATTGGATTAGGTTCATACTTATTAAAGCACTGAGTATCCAAAAGAATGAAAAGAATGGAAGGATGTGCCATGCAGACTGTGGTCTGAGCCTCCTCCACCCAGATGCTCTGGGACTGATGATGATGGCCTGGACCACAGTGAGGAGACTGCTGGTGCAGATGGAGACCCCACGGGCCACCCTCTCCAAGTAAACAATGATCTTACATCCAATGTCATCTAGGAAGCTTCTCAAACCAAAAGCTGCTATTGTCTTTGGCAATCCTTTTGCAAGAAGGATTATGATGTTTGCCAAGGCCAAGTGGATGAGAATAAGGTGTATGTTTTTCTTCTCAGGGCCTCCCCACCAGCTGCACATATAATTCACAGAAACAGCAATATTCCCCAAAGTACCAACTGTAGTCATTAAGAGAAAAATTGTCTCCTTAATAAAATTCAAAACCATTTCTTTCTTCCTAGGTAGAAAACTTTGTGTCCAGGATGCAAAGACTTTTTCAAGAAAGTGTCAGTAATGCTACACGTGGATCTGAAAAACACATATTGCCGTATTAACTTCTAGTGTGCAAGATGCAGCAATGGACACATACAATGTTGCAGATTAGATCCCTGACATTCCTCCTTTTCCCCCCATTGTGGACTCTGGGATGTTTTGTGTGCTCTAACAGGTTAGTTTGGTAATTGCTATTCAAAATCTAAGCTTTTAGAGGAGAGGTTTTTTTTTTTTAGTTCTACACTAGGAGAAAATGACTTGTTCACATTGTGTGTCTGTGTGTCTGTCTGATTGCATGCATGTATTATTCTAGTTAACTCTCAGCATAGCTGAATTGAACTCCAAGTTCTCTATCCAAAAGTTCTTTCTGTTTCTCATTCTATTTTATTTTCCCCATGCAATTCCCCAAATCTGAGCCTCTTGCTGACCCTGTCTGCCTTCCCCACATCACACTTACAGACACTGGGAAACACTGCTGGGTCAGCACCTGTAACATCTCTCAGATCTTCTAACTTTACCCTCCACACTGCCCTCTCCTTTGTCTGATATTCCTTCCTTTTCTGCATCTCAAGTAATATAATAATTTCTAGATTTTCCTTTGGCTTCGAAGCTTTATAACTTTTGTTCCTATATTAACATTTTAAAGGTTACTATGTTGACCATTCTGTGACTTCACTCCATATACATGTTATTGGTTATTTTTTTAATGTAATCCTCAATGCCATGTCAAATTGTAAAACCTTTCCAGATAGGACCTGACAATTAATACTGAGTCATAAAAAGATATGCTGAAAAATTCAAGGATCCACCTGGTAGCAGCTAAGGAGTGTGTCTAGCAGAACCCTGTAGTTCTTCCTAGGAGAGGGGGTAGCAGAGAACTGTGACTCCAGTGGATGAGTTCAGGACATTTGTGACTCCAGTGAGTGACTTCAGGGCATCTCAGGGAGCAGGGATCAGCTCTCCACCAAAGGAGCAGATGAGGAGGATGGAAGAAAGGAATTAATGAAGGTGCTGTGGTGAGATGAGTGCAGTTAATGTCTGATGACCCCTCAGCATTGGTTTAGGTATACTGGGATGAGTAGGAATTCTCCCATCAAAGAAGCCATGGTGGCCTTTGCCTCTGTGGGGTTGTGCAAGCCTCAGTTATATCAGCTTGCTTTGAAATGTGCTTCTACTCTTGTTTTTTTCCAGTCTATTTATCAGTCAGGCTGCTTTATTCTACATCAATCTCAGCTGATTCCAGAACTTTAGCTCTCGGCGGGATGCTATTCTTCATGCATGCAAGTTCCGTTTACATTTCTCAGGGATTTGTGATAACTATTGGCACCTTTTCTAGAAGAAGGAGTCTGCATGTTTCATGAGTTTGTGTGTTATGAGTACTTGGAATGCCTCTGTTCACACTGCTCTTCATCCTGTGAAATTCACAAGATTGGTTTAAATGTCTGTGTCTTGATGATGTCACCTGTGCCCTGCATAAACTGAGCTGTGCTCCCAGGTTTAAGTTTATGTTGCTTCATGACATGAGAAATGTCAGTTATTGTTGTTCAACTGCTCCTCTGACAGAGGGGTAATTGTTGCCTGAATTATCAGTACTTCCTAGAAATCACAATAGCAACTCAAATATCTGCACATAATGAAATATGCTCCAGGTGTTAATACCAAGCACATAATCATTCATCAACATATTTGGAATAAAAATTAAGTGTTTAATCAGAGGTTGGAATCTGTAAAAATCCCTTCAATAATTCACCTTAAATACTGATGGAAAATATTAACACTTTCCTGTTCATTTAATGTTTGATTTTCTGATAATTCCTATTTTTCTAGTCTTCTCTTTTTTCCCCAAAAAGTTTCAATCATATTTCAGAACAGATTCTGATCTTCTAATAAGGGATTCCTTCTACTGGAATGCACTGTTAGAGGGGAGAGAGATGACTCATTTTCCAAATTATATTAAATAATGCTATAGGAAATTAATTTAAAAGACAGGGATAGACTTGGTTTTGGCTATATGGATAATCCCATGTCTGGGAATAAACCCCAATACCTGATAGATTACATCCTATCAGGTTTTCTAAAAACAAGCAAACAAAAGCAAAACAGATTATTTGTCTTTACTACTTAGCACTGGAATAAAACTAAAATGAACTATCTCAAGATGTTCTAGTTCACAACCTTAATCCATTATAGCAGGACTTCTTAAGATGGTAATGATAACTCTTTCACTTAGTGGTTTAAGTTTCTCCACATACACTAGCCACACAAAGACTATAATTGGCATAAATGTGTGTGTGTGTGTGTGTGTGTGTGTGTGTGTGTGTGTGTGTGTGTGAAAAACTGCAGAGACTAAGGGTAGATACAGAAGGAAAACCTTCAAATTAGGAGTTATGATATCACTGTAAAAGAAATATGTGCCAATACTTGAAAAGTGGAAACGCACCAAAAGTGAAAAGAGCCAATGTCACAAGAACTAGTGATACTGTAAGAGTCACAAGGCTGACAAACATGGTGACAAAAACAAGAAAGTTTGTTTGCTTTTCTTTTGTCTTGTTATTTTTGAGACGTGTGTAAACCAGGGTAGCTCTGAGCAGCAATAACCTTGCCTCAGTTTCTCTAGTGCTGACATTACACGAGTGTGTCATTATTATCTCCAGAGTTTGACAGACATCTGAAAATCTTCTATATACCAATGATTGCTTTAAGAAAAACAAACAACCACTTCGCCCCCACTGCCCTCTTTTGGCGCGTGGCATCGCCTAGCCCAGCCTATCTGGGCGCTGGGTCCGAGTACCCGGGGCTCCCAGGCGGGCAGCAGTTCCTTTGTTTCTGTGGCCTGCCTGCACCAAGCGGGGTAGGCGCTTTGTCTGCGAGCTGCCCAACCAGCACGGAGGCCTGATCTTTCGGCGCCAGGAGACTCAGCATTGGGGTGAGTTTCTGGCCCACGGCGCCAGCCTGGGACGGGGAGCTCGGAGGTTTCTTGGCCCCCTGTCCTGCTTGGGCTCTCTGCAGGGCCTCTACTCCCCGGGTGCTGCCTCTTTCTTCCTGGCCCACCCAGCTTCCATCCAGAGCCCTCCCCACTTCGCCCCCACTGCCCTCTTTTGGTGCGTGGCATCGCCCAGCCCAGCCTATCTGGCCGCTGGGTCCGAGTACCCGGGGCTCCCGGGCGGGCAGCAGTTCCTTTGTTTCAGTGGCCTGCCTGCACCAAGCGGGGTAGGCGCTTTGTCTGCGAGCTGCCCAACCAGCACGGAGGCCTGATCTTTCGGCGCCAAGAGACCCAGCATTGGGAGAGCCAACATTGGGGAGAGACAGCGTTTGGTAGGCAAGGAGACCTGATCCGGTAAAAGAAGATCCATAGGGAGCATTTGGAAGAAGAGATGGGCCGACATCAAGGCAAGAATTCGCCCAACAAGCTGAAAAGCAACATGAAGCTACCAGAAACAAGCGACCTCACAACGGGAGGACAAGAACCCCTTAATCAAGAGGAAGGAGAAAAGATTGACTTCATGAAAGTGATTGACACCCTTAAACAGCATGTAAAAAACGCCCTTATAGAAATGGATGAGAAATATAACAGAAAGTTTGAAGAATTGAATAAATCAGTGAATGATTCCCTAGAAAACCAAGGAAAAACAATCAAACAGATAATGGAAACAGTTCAAGACCTGAAAACTGAAATGGAGGCAAAGAAGAAAACACAAACAGAGGGCCGCCTGGACATGGAAAATCTAGGTAAATGAATAGAGACTACAGAAACAAGCATAACCAGCAGAATACAAGAGATAGAAGAAAGACTCTCGGATTCTGAAGATACCATAGAGAAAATAAACACACTGATCAAAGAAAACAGCAAGTCCAACAAACTCTCCTCACAAAACATTCAGGAAATATGGGACACAATAAAAAGACCAAACCTAAGAATAATAGGAGTAGAAGAAGGAGAAGAAGGGCAGCTCAATGGTCCAGAAAATATATTTAATAAAATTATAGAAGAAAACTTTCCCAACCTAAAGAAAGATTTTCCTATGAAGGTGCAAGAAGCATACAGAACACCGAATAGGCTGGATCAAAAAAAACATCCCCTCGCCATATAATTATCAAAACACAAAGCATACAGAATAAGGAAAGAATATTAAGAGCTGCAAAGGAAAAAGGCCAAATTACTTATAAAGGTAAACCTATCAGACTTACACCTGACTTCTCCATGGAAACCATGAAAGCCAGAAGGTCCTGGATAGATGTACTGCAGAAACTGAGAGACCATGGGTGCAAGCCCAGATTACTATACCCAGCCAAGCTTTCATTCACTATAAATGGAGAAAATAAAATTTTCCAGGATAAAAACAAATTTAAACAATACGCAGCCACAAATCCAGCCTTACAGAAAGTAATTGAAGGAAAATCACTAACCAAGGAGTCCAACAATGACCACAATAACTCAGACATCTAGAGACCCTTCACCAACGCAAAACAAAGAAGGGAAACACACAAACTCTACGACTAAAAAAAAATGACCGGAGTTAACAACCACTGGTCATTAATATCACTTAATGTCAATAGACTCAACTCACCTATAAAAAGGCACAGGCTAAGAGATTGGATAAGAAAACATGATCCAACATTCTGCTGTTTACAAGAAACACACCTCAACCACAAAGACAGACACCTACTCAGAGTAAAGGGCTGGGAAAAGGCCTATCAAGCAAATGGACCTAAGAAACAGGCAGGTGTGGCCATACTAATCACTAACAAAGTTGACTTTAATCTTAAATCAATCAGAAGAGATGGAGAGGGGCATTTTATACTCATAACAGGAACAGTTCATCAGGATGAAGTCTCAATCCTGAACATCTATGCCCCTAATATAAAAGCACCCACGTACATAAAAGAAACATTGCTAAAATTCAAGGCAGCCATCAAACCGCACACACTAATAGTAGGAGACTTCAACACTCCTCTCTCACCAATGGACAGGTCAATCAGACAGAAACCTAACAGAGAAATAAGAGAATTAATGGAGGTAATGAATCAAATGGACTTAACAGACATCTA